ATGGTGTGCGTCTGGTGTTTACAAGTCCTTGCTGCTGCATTCGTGAAACTCAATTGGTGTGACGGCCTTATTAGGGCACACTGCCTACCAAATGTGCATACTGGAGCACCCGTGGCTAGTACTGTTCTGATTACTGTAAGCTTAGCTGGTATTGGACTGTGTATGGGTCTCATTGTCTTTATATCTAGGGAGCTAAATTATTACAAAATGTTTAAGATGAAATATGACACTTGCCCTTTTCACAGACCTATATATCAACATGTGCTTCAAGTATAAAATGAATTTACCTCAGTTTTTTTAAAAAAAAGCAGCAACATCAGCATATTAAAGCTTCTGCTGACTCTTTCATTTGAAATGACAAGGTACAAGCTTGTAATGTAGTGTTTATCTTGGCTACTAGCTGTATGTGTGAGTGTGTGCATTTGTGGTTGTGTACATGTTTTACTGTGCAAGTGGGATGTCAGAGTACTGCACAATATTACTAGGGTCTGACAAGATAAGAGCATTGCAGCAGTGTGTGTGTGTGTGTGTGTGTAAGAGAGAGAGAGAGACAGAGGGAGATGAGAGAGGCTGACTCGTTGACTCTTTGCTGCTCAGTGCTTGTTCATGCAAATGAGAGTCTGTTGACATGCCAGAGTCTCCTCACAAAAGAAAATCCATTAGCTGTCCGTTCTACCTCCTGCTTTACTTCTCTCCTTCTCTCCCTCTCTCTCTCTTACCTGGTTTCCGTTTTTCAAGTACAGTGTGTCTCATTCTCCCGGTGTCTCTCTTTCTCATCTCCCTCTCTCCTTACTCCCCCTTCTTTTCTGCCTCACCTTTGGCCCTTTCAGCTTTTTTCTTCTTTCCCCTGCCTTGTCTTCTTTTCATCTACCGTCAGCTCCCTGTTGCCTATGGCAATAGCAACCTGAATATGAACATTCTGATAATCCTGATACGTAAGATGCGAACTTCACAGTGTGTGCTGCTCAGGCCTTACTATTATAAGGTGCAACAACATTTACATAGACTTGTGCAGAATAATACAAATCCCAAACATGCATAAACACAAATTACACAAATATGCACACAGAGTGACAACTAGGAGTCGGATGGTAGAAAGGCAGTTCTCAATGACAAGTCACTACGCTTCAGGAAAACAATCAATAATACTTGATCAGAATAAAATGTTCCCCAGTATAATTTGATAAAGGAAAAAAAAAGTTTGGCATTCAGTTGGATTCCTGACAAATCAGATAATTGTTGAGTTAGTTCCCTGCTGACCTGTCAGGGTTTGGGAAAGCATGGTGCCTGCTAATGTTGTCAATTATTGAAGTCGCTACATGCTGATAGCTTCATCATCCCATTGTGGGTGTCTTTGGAGATGTTCAATTAGATGTCTTGTATTGTTTTAGGTGGACACAGGTGTGTGAACATCTTTCAATCTTAAATGTGCATCTGATTATATGTACATCTGGTGGCTATGTGCAGGGGAGAGATAATTCTGCTTTCAATGTAAATTACTAGGGGTGTGACAAGACACTTAACTGACGAGACTTGAGATAGGGTTCACTTGATCCACACGAGACAAGATTTTAACACTATTTTAAAGAAATCTTTAATGCTGAATTATATGAAGATTTGAATATTAAACACTTTAATTCCTGCATTCTGATGAATTTCTGCACGAGTTTATGGTGATTTTTTAAATTTATGTAAAGAGAAACACAAAATTCAAGTGGCAGGTGACAATTCAAAATCTATAACCTAACAATAACACAATATAATGCGGTGCAGCTCTCAGTCATTCTGTGCTGCTTCTAGATCTGTTTCTCCTCTGGATAATCCTTTCTCCTGTAGCCTAATTATTTCCTTGCTGAGTCATGATTTAGGAAGTAACCTCTTTAAATGTGATTGTGGCACCTTTTCACCTCAATGATAAAGTATTACATTTTTTGTCAGTTATAAACTCCTGGACTTTAATATCTCCTGTGTTTCAGCAGGTTTTCTGCTCGAAAGTAACTTAAACACTTTTGATCACGCAGAAATCTAACCACAGATCCACACATGTTAACTACAGCATATCTGATAAAGTGTAGCTCACAGTCTCAAACAGAGCAAGGTTGGTCCTCAGTTTTTAGATGTTTATGCTGCAAAACTCTACCAGCTACGTTACCACTCGTCACAGGTGTCTGGACTCAATTAATGTGTGCCTTGACAGCATGTGAAAAATTGTGTGAGTCTCGCGAGACAGCTTTTTACCTGATGAGAAAAATGTTAGCATATTTCTTTGTGGTGACAATACAGTGACCTTGAACAAGGGCTCAGAGTAAATGCGAAACAACGTGCTATAAAGAGAAATGATTACTACATACTGCACTAGGACACAACACACTGGCCTTCTCTTGGAGTTTGCTGTGTTTTTATCTGCTTTTATAAAAATACAGTTTATATGTTTTCTCTACTTTATGCATCCCTAAAGTTCAATCCTATGTTCTCTGTATTTTTCTTTCCCTTGATCCATCCAGGTATTTCTACAATGCTACTCTTTCTTATCATGTCCCACCTTTCTTTTTCCCTTCAGCCTTCCCACCTCACTTCCTCTGTCTCATATCTCTCGTCGCCTTCTCCCTCTTTCTGTGTCGCTTTCTCTCCTAACCACAGTATTCCTTTTGACCTTCCTTCCTCCTTTGTTTACTCACCTCCTCTATCTCTGCTGTGATGACAGCAATGCAGACAGAAGGAGAGTAGAGTGCTGACTTAAACAGAGACGCACAACTAGGCCAACACAACTGCCTCCAGGGATGTGTGAATGTGTGTGTCCATGTATATTTGTATCTGTGCATCAGTGTGTGTGTGTGTGTGTGTGAGAGAGTTTGTGACAGAGTAAGACAGAAAATGAGGGTGACAGAGAAACACACTGAGAATAAGGTGGTGAGACACTGGTATAATTATACATGATTAAAAAAGCCACAACAACAGTTGTTAGGTGGCAATTTCAAACTTTATTGTGTAACAGCAAAAACAATGAAAGAGTTACAGAAAAACAAAATAGCGCAACAAGTAAACTACTGTACACATTAACAGCAGTCATCTTGGAGTCCTTGTGGAAGGCGATGGAACTGCAGTGACCTTAGCTTTGACTTGTTTCGGGTTTGTTTTTAAGGTAGACCTGATTAGGCGTTGTTTCAGCTAATGCTTGTCATGTAAAAGTGCACCTAGTAATTTTTCATGTGAATGGCAAGTTGCAATATATAGCTACACGGTCTGCATTGCTGGGCATAGTGCTTGTAGCAGACCAACTTGTAAAAAATCATTAAAAGCACATAACCGGTAACTGAATTGCTATGGCAGCATTTGCAGATGTTGGGCATACAGTAGGCATTTACAGTAATAAGAATAGAATAACAGTGCCTACTGAACTACTGCATGAATGTATTGGACCCTGTGTGTGTTTATTTGTATGTATGTCAGTGTTTCTGAGACACAGAGGCAGTATGTGTGTTTCCCTGTTGGATGTGTTCTGTTTTCGTGTGTAGGGAAATACTGTGTGTGTGTGTGTGTGTGTGTGTGGATGTAGACTGTATGTATTATGCAGACCTAGGAGAGCCTTGTGCTATAAATAAAACAGGGCTGCACTGTGCTCACTGGCGGAATAATCTATCTGACACTATGGAGAAAGAGAGAGAAAGAAGTGATGGAGGAAACAGAGAGAAGAGCAGAGAGAGAGAGAGGCAGGAATGAAAGACAGATGAAAATGGAAAGAGAAGCGAACAGAGAAACTAAAGAAAAGAAAAAAAACAGGGGCAACGACTAAGCAGGAGAGAGAGAAATCGTGTCGAGGGAGAAGGAGGAGAGTGGCTTGTCCACAGGGCCTCTGGCAGAGGTAGTTAGCACCGTAAAATAGCTAAAAGTCATATTCAAAAGGGCAGTAATGTCTTTCCTCAACATCTCCTTGGGTAATCAGCCACCCATGCCCTTTTCAGTCTCTCTCTTCTATAGCTGCAAGGAATGAGAGGCAGTCTGTTTTCTTTATACTCCTCGCACCTGTGTTAAGGACAGTCAGCAGGTCCTGCACATATTTGTTATCATGTGTAAGTGCTTGTGAGCAAAATGTCAAGATGCTAGTGAAACCGATTCTTATTGATACTTTGCAAATACTTTTGGCAATAAAACTGCAGTTGTTTGTGGATCTTCAGCTGACAAGTTTGTTTCTTTATTTGTCTTATACCCACTCAAATACTTTAAAAGGGATCTTATATATATGTAAATGATCATAGGTATTTGTTATTCAAGGACATTTGGATGGATTGTGACTCAAACCAGTGCCATTATGATCATGACAGGATTGTCTCCTTAATAACTAGGTCAACAATTTGCCCAGTTTTTACAGGCACTTTCCATACAGGTCAGCATGCATTATACATTAAACCTTGCCTTGCTAAATGAAATTCAAAGTGCTCACTAAACCACAGTAAGCTTCTGTGGCTGCAATTATAATCTGCGCTGTATATACAACATTGTGTATGTATGAGTACTGTAGATGTTAAAAGGAAACCACTTACAACACTTGAAGGAAAAGAAAAAGCTTTATTTCAGTTTGTTAATGCATTTCCAAAGATAGATGACCAAATAAACAGCCGTTGCCGTGATATGAGTACAGACCTGCATTGAAGCTGGAGAGTGGAAAATAATTACATATTTAATTAGATATTTCAATGCCAGGTTTCTGTCAGTCAGCAATTAAGAGCAAATTATGGAATAGGCAGTTACTGGAGTAGTACAAAATAGTAAAGTATCAGGTGGATATGACATCAACAGTAACGAGAGGCCAATAATGAACATAAACTACCATGAACGCCTGTCTAAATCTAAAAATCTGTCTTCCATCCTCTGTCTCCTCTGTCTCAGTGTATTTCTGTAATCTGCAGATAATCAGGATTGTCTGTCTTCTTAAAACAAATAAAAAACTCAACAAAGACCTGACTTTCTTAAATAACCTTCTTTGTCCCTTTTGATGCCAGGTCATGGAGCTGAAGGGTCAGATGATCCATGTGCCTGAGTCCTGCTCCCTGATGTTCCTGGGTTCGCCACGTGTTGATAAGTTGGAGGAGCTAATGGGCAGAGGCCTCCACCTGTCAGATATCCCTATCCATGATGCCACACGGGACGTTATCCTGGTGGGGGAGCAGGCCAAGGCTCAGGATGGCTTGAAGAAGAGAATGGACAAACTGAAGGTAGAGTGGTTGCTAGTTAATTCTGGGTGTGTTCGTATTTACAGAGCAGGACAAATAGGGAAACTTCATTACTATAACTTTATTAGACCATTGCCATCATGAGAAAATAGGCTCATCAGTAACCAATCAGATTTTTTACATCTTTGTGGCTTGTCGTTGTGGGACAATTGCATGAACATAACATTTTCCACCAGTTAGAACTGTTTGAAAAGGATGAAACATTTGCAATAGGCTGATCACATAATCTAAGCATTGTAGTACAGAAGTACTGGTACAATGATTCGTTGTAAGTCTAGGGGATTTAGTTATCACTAATCCTTACCAGCTACTAACAAGCCACAGCATACACTGTATGCCTTTGGCTACCAACAACAAGAAAGGATGAAGGCATTACCTGAACCCTAGAGAGCTTGACTCACTTTCACCACATGGTTGGAGGCCAGCCTGTCGTCCAGTATGCGTGGCGCCAACCCTGCACTGGGCTCTGCGTTGGTTAAGTTAATTTTACAACAGACGTAGGGAGAACCTAAACCAAAAATAATTACAGGATGAGAGTTATCATTCATTGTCCATTAAAGTCTCAACAAAAAGGGTTATGCTATTGGCAGCACTCCACTCCCCTTTCTTTCTTCCTCCTCTACTCTTTCCCTCTGATGGGCTCATATTAGGTAAGACCTGCCTTCTTATCTTCTGACAACCAATCAAAACAACAAATGACAACCTGTGACCCTAAATACAGTGATATGTACAAAAATATTCTGTATATTTGGTAGGTTCTCGTTTTTGTTTCCCATCATGCAAGATGTAAGACAGTTCACTAAAGTAAACATGTTAAATCCAATGCATCAGCTGTACCGGGTAGTTAAATCTCAGTGTTGCCTGAATCCATACTGACTGGAAACACATGGCTCCTGGGACTTGCTCTGATAATTTATGTTTTTATAAAGTACCTTTCAGCAAGTCTCTGAGTCTTGACCCCATCCTATGCATCTGCTTACTGCATCACCCTCTCTCACTGCAGCTATCCTCCCCAGGCCACTGATATAAATAGCTGTATCTTAGTTGACTTGCCTGCTTAAACAATGTTATAGCACTGCATCAGATAGATTTGGCATTAACAAGCTCACCCACAGACACAAATAAGCATATGCAGATGCATACAATCATAAATAAATCAAATTATTACGCAGATAAATGTACATGCGCCAGTGGTTTTAATTTTGTGCAGTACTCCCACATCTCAGCATCGTTGTTATCATTGCCTTCATCAAAGCAAGCACACAGAACAAAAGCTCCTAATCTCCTTCTCCTCCCTCCTTTCCCAGGCCACATTAGAGCGGACTCACCAGGCACTGGAGGAGGAAAAGAGGAGAACCGTGGATCTCCTTTATTCCATATTTCCAGGTGATGTGGCGCAGAAACTGTGGCAGGGTCAGCCGGTGCCCGCTCGCAAATTTGATGACGTTACCATGCTGTTCTCGGACATCGTGGGTTTCACTGCAGTGTGTGCCCAGTGCACACCTATGCAGGTCATCTCCATGCTGAACGAGCTTTACACACGTTTCGACTACCAGTGTGGCATTCTGGATGTTTATAAGGTCAGTAGACAGAAAGATGCCCACATCTTCTTTATGTGGTGTAGTTGAGACAAGGCGGGGGGGGGGGGGGGGGGGGCAGTTTGATTTGATAGGAGAGGCAGATGCCCAGGATTGCATTAAAATTTTAATGACTTTATTGGTTGATGTGCACACCTGTGCAGAATGAGGTCAATTGTTTTCCAGGAAGTGGCAGCTTCCCAGGAAGTGAGAGCCTTCATGGAAGTCTTACCAGTTGTGTTAGTTGTGTTTAGATCAGCTAAATCTTTAGGGTGTGTCTCTGTCTGTGTGTACTGGAGTTTGTGGGTGTGTGTGTGTGTGTGCTGTTATGTGTGAGTGTTCTTGTGTTGTGGAAAAAGTAACTGATTAATGGCCAGTCTGTGGGAGCTTAACAAAGATGTGTCATTATTGTCCATGTGACAGTGTGGGTTTTGGGCCAGTCTTCACTGTAGTCTGCTGTCTTTCCCACTTTTCATCCTTACTTTTTACCATCAGCTCAGTATTTCTCTTCATTTTTACTCTTTCCACCTTCTCTCCATCATCACCACTGCCGTCATCTTTCTTCTTGATCACACAGTCCCTGTGACAACATATACCTTCCACTTTCCCATAAGAAACATGCATTTCCTCTGTGTTTCCCCTCAGAAATGTCATGTATCAGATGTCTGGAGAAAGGGAAGAAGAGATACAGAAGAAGGCAGAGATTCTGAGTGTATTTAAGAGGGTTTATGTGTATAGCAGTTGAAGAGTGAGTGTGTAGAAAAGAAAGCAAGAACAGGAGGATGTGGTGAGGAGGTTGAGGCACCCGTATGTTACCATTGTCATGGTTACCGTTGAAATGATTTAGCCGGTGGCTGACCTTAATGAGAGCAGTTTGTCTCCTAGTTTTCTTTTTTTGTTTCCTTTTCTCCTCTTGTCTTTTTTTGCCGCCTTTGTCAACTGTCATGACACCTTGCACACTCCTTCGACTGGAAATACAGGGACAAATATATTTGGCTAAGTTGCCCAAATTCCTTGCTTACTGGATGTCGGAAACATTGTGCTGTTGCTTAAAAGATCAAGTGAGGTGGTTTGTCACAAATTTCAACTAAAAAAGATAGCAAGAGATTGCATCTCTACATACCGGCCCATTAACTTTTCATATTGAAGCAGACCAGTTCTCTGGTCTCTGGAATATCAGAGCCTCAAGACGCTTATAGGCTGTATTTATGTGACAATACAAGGTTAAGTGGCTCTTCAGTGAATCTGCGACGGGCACTGTAGTGGATCTGTATTTCTGCAAATTGGTTACAAGAATAAATGGAAATGCTTGTATTCTTTATGCTTGTTTTTTTGGCTTCTCACACTGGGTCAGAAGCAGTGCAAGCGCTGTAAGTGGCTAAACCGAGATCCTCTCCAAATGCTCACCAACTCTTATTGTGAATGATGTAGACCAATAGAGGGAAACATACTGTAGTTCATATATTTTCGTACCTTTGTACTTTTTCATAATTGATTCTTTATTAATCTATATTGTCTGCTATGTAGCAGAAGGGAGTTACAAAACTCAATTTCACTATATAACTTTAACTTTCATATTGTGACAATAAACCTACCTAACTTACAAGAGGAATGAAGGAGTGCTTTTAATTTCTACTACTCAGTGGAGATGGTCTGAGTTATCGAATTGCTACTTAGTTTCACACATCAGCATATACCTCAAAGCCACACTTACTCATTTCAGTTTCTGCCCCTCCTCCTCCATTTCTCATTCAGATCGAGACAATAGGTGATGCCTACTGTGTGGCAGGAGGACTACACAAGAAGGTTGATAGTCATGCGAAGCCAATTGCACACATGGCTCTGAAGATGATGGAACTCTCAGAGGAAGTGCTGACACCTGATGGGAAACCTATCAAGGTAAGTTTTCATTCACTCTCCACCATGCAGGTATCTGAGGCGATTTTGGAGCATTTAAGGAAATAAGCCCTGAAAAGCCCATTTTTGTAACACCTCTCAGCTGCTAGCACACAGAAACTAGCCAAATTAGCTTAAATCGTGGTCCCATTTGCTAGTTTCTTGTTCATCTGTGCATTCATTACATTTCCTTTTCCTAAGTTTCTTCCTTCCTGTATTTTACACAGTTTGCTTCCCTTATAGTGGTTTTTTTTCAGTCTTTCCTTCCCCCGTAATGGCACTGCTGTAACACATTTTATATTATCTGACTACAATACTTCAGAATCGGCTTTAATGGCCAGGTATGTGTACTCATTTGACTCCGGTCTTACATTGCTCTCGATGTATACACAGAACACAGAACAAGCATATACAAAAAAGCTCAACAAAGAAGACTTGTCAGCAGTGTTGAGGGATCTCTCTCATTGTCATTTTAATGAATGAATGAATGAATCATTTTATTTGATGATTAAAAAACACATATAACACTGCACTCCAGTCATAACATACATTAAAAATGACAGAGGATGAAAACACAACAAAGCCTTAACGCTCATTTCCACTGTAATCCTCTAGTATAACACCACAGGAAAAAACAACAACAAGACATTTATTTTGCTAATGTAAATGTGTCACCTGTTTATCTGCCGTCTCTTTTTGGTATAGAACTGTCTCCAACTGTAGGCCTACTTAAATGATCTATATTTTTTGTCTGACTCATGTATCATTTGCATACTGTATGTGAGTCTGTGTCTGCATGATAATGTGGATACAGTTCAGTAAGGAAAAAAAAAAGTAAATTGTGTGTCCATATGGTGATTCTCAAACAAGCCTGGTTCCTGACCTACAGTTCAGTGGTGAGTTTTTTGTCACAAACCTACTGAGGACAGTTTCCTTCAATTTTTGCCTTTAGAAAATAGTGACATTGTTAGCGTGTGGAAAGTGTAGCCATGTGTGCCTGTGTCTGTTTATCTAAATGTATCTTAATTGTTTTCTGGTTCTGAATATATCTGTGTTGGTATTTGCGCATTATTGACTATTTCAGTACGCACACTGATAGTCCAGGTCAACAATATTGCATGTTAATATCCTCACAGTCAGCGTTTAAGGACGTTGTCGCCGTCTCCTCTTCGTCTCATTTTCATCAGGCAAAAAAAGTTGACGAATATATTTCGTTTAGTTTCGGCTGACGAAAGTAACACTAATTGGAGTGTGTTTGAAATGAGGCAAGGGATATGTTGTCCCACGAGTGTGTGTCTGTGTTTGAGTTATACTTAGGCTACATAACTTCTCTCCCAGCCAGCTGCATGTGACATTCAAATTAAAACACTATAGAATCATCAGTAGGGTTACTCACAGTTTGTTATGTCCTATGTGCATTCAATACTGGGTATCTCTGATACCGAGTCTGATCCAAAACTTTTTATTTACCCAAATTGTTGATTGAATATGTATGCGTTAAAATAAGCTGAAATAGTTCACAAACTACTTGATCAAAATACTAAAGTCCCCGGTTCAAAACTATTAAGTAGATCAGCTTTAAGTTTTAACATGATATGACGATGATATAAGTTTAATTCCAACAATGTGACTTGATTTGACTCAATTTCTCTCTGTTGGGGCTGTTGGAACAACAAAAACACTCCTTTTTGCTTTATTAACAATCTTTGGCTGACATACATCGGCTTATAGAGAGCACAAAATCCAATAATTTCAAGTTAATCACTGAATTAGTGTTAATTAGTGACCTGGACATTTGTCATTTTAACCAGTGAAAGCGATGGTCAGTGCATGCTATAGATGAGAAGCTAAATGTGTTGTATACTGCTCTTTGCCAATGAGAAAGAGATAGAAGAAGTAACAAATCTTTTGCTAGCTTTGTGAATTTTGCCACCTTGGTGTCAGAAGAGTTCCATCACCGGTGCAACCAAATAATTTTTAAATTTTTTACATTCACACACTCAAAACTCACTAAAGCACTGTAAAGAAAGAAGCTTTATTTTTGCCAAAAAAAATATGTACAGATTGTCCCTGATAGCATTACTTAGGATCGGCTCAAGATGTTTCTTAATGTGGATGCATTTGTTTATACAGTAGGAAATAATACAGTATGTGTGCCGTGTGGGTGTATGTATGGGATGTTTTGTTCTATTTATGTACCATATGCTTCTGAGTGTGTTGGTTTTCAACTCTCTAAGCTTTGTAAATCAACTACATTTTATTTATATAGCTCAATATCACAAATTTACCTCAAGGGACCATACAGCATACTGTCCTTAGACCCTCAATTTAGATAAAGAAAACCCTTTAATGGGGAAGAAGTGGAAGAATCCTTAGGAAGAGCAACAGAGGAGGGATCCCTCTCCCAGGATGGATAGTCATGCAATAGATAAGACAAATGTTAAATGTCTATGTGGACCTACATTTTAAGAATTTTTTGCAGAAACAAAGATGAGTGTATTAAGTAGGTAGGGGAGGAAAGAGACACAGCTGAGGGAATTGAGTTTGAACATATCTGAATGTTATATCAGTAAAATGAAAAGGGAACAGAGGATATGATTTATTTATGTCTATCCTTAGTCCAGTCTCTGTCAAGGTCACCTGTCACTGTTAGGCTGCCTGGGTAGCTTTGAGGGCCAGGGTGCTTATTTGCAATGTCATAAATATGAGTCAAAGTCATTACCTACAGTAAGTTGCTCTTTATTTCTGGATGATTGGCTATGTCTTTCGCTTTACTGGATTCAGTCATATTATAGTATAAAACTGGTCTTATTATGAAGAACTCATGAAATTAAAGAGAATCATTTAACAAGTTATTAACTGTTAACTTGTGGTTGATGAACATTTGCTAAAAACTACAATCCTCTGTTGTTAACTTTTAAAAAATTAAACTGCTTATTTGGGTGGTGATGGAGCCGTGGATAAGACGCATGCCTTTTGTGTGAGAGACCCGGGTTCAACTCCCCACTGTGACACATCAACCAATGTGTCCCTGCGCAAGACACTTAAGCCCTAGTTGCTCCAGAGATGTGCGACCTCTGACATATATACAGTAGCAATTGTAAGTCGCTTTGGATATAAGCATCAGCTAAATGTAAATATTTTGTTTAGCATTAAATGAGTGCCAAAGACATAGTAAGTGAATAGGAAAGTATTCAGAGATGGACCACCACGTTGGTTATGCTCTTTTCATGGAATTTGTTAACAATAAAATGAATGCCAAAAAGACACCAGCCTTAGCCTTTTAACATTGCAGCTCGTGTTGAAGTGATTGAACCTGTTTTTATGTTTGAGAAGACTGCAGAATTTGGAGTTGTTGTTTTGTTTTGTTTTTGCCACAGAGTGCATTTGGTTTCGACTTGTTTTAAAAATAGACAATGACATAGATAGGAACAGAAAGTGTGTGTGAGGGAGAAGACCGATAGCTGCTGAATAACAGACAGGACACTGTTCAGTGTAATACTGTGCTCATAACATTGTCCATTTGTCTCAAAATAGAAAGGCCTTGCCAAGCATTTTTGGCCTTCTCTCCTGCTCTTCCACTTTCTCTCCCCCTCTCTTTCCTCTTCTCTTCTTTATCTCCTCCCCCTCCTCTCTTCCCCTCATTCTCTCCTCTGCAGCGTCTCTCTAATTCACTCCTTTCATTTTCCAATTCAGCTTCTTGCTTTCTTTATCTCTCCCTTTTTATTCTCGTTCTGTTTTCTGTAGTTTGCATTCTCTGTTAAGCTCTCCTCTTTCTTATCCCTCTTCACTCCATGTTGGTATAGAGGAGAGTTATAGAGATATCCAACACTTCAGCGTGATAAATGCTGTTCAGTGAGTGCACTCAACTCCAGCCAGTGTTGCACTGTTATGCAAACTAGCATTAGAGCTGTGAGAGAGAAGTGAGAGAAAATGTTTAGTGAGAGAGTGATCCAAGGACACAGAGAAATATACTGAGAAGAGAGAGAAATGTATAGAAAGCAAACATTGTAAGTTGTTTTCATCTATATTACTACTTCCTGTTCCATGTACGTGTGTGTTTGTGTGTATGAGTGGATGTAAATGCGAGTGGATATCAGGGATGTAGTGCTTAGCTTGTTACTGCTAATATGAATTCTGCCCAAACTACCATGGTTTTCTAACCATAAATATTTAAGAAACTATAGCATCCACTATACATGCTCAGTCCTACACTATCTGAATGCAGGCTTCTATCACATGATATTATTATTGTTAATGATAACCTTAATGTATGTTTGGTAGGTCCTCCAAACATACATTACATCAGCAGTATCTGAGCATTTTGAATCCACAAATGCTCAGGCACTAGTCATGCCAATCAAAAGTGGCAGTGGTTTATTAATTCCAATATGTCCGCCTTCCAGCAACTTCAGCTCTGTTGTACACAGTGTGCGCAAAGCACCTCCCCAAGTATCAGATTGCCATAACTACTGTGCTGGTAGGTGTTAAATACAAAACAGGTAAGCTAAGAATTTGACTTTGAAGTAATATTGCACCTATCAATCACGTTGTTTTAATGTAATGCATAGGATCTCCAAAACCCTTAGGGCTGTAACTAGTGCTTATTTTCATTATTGGTTAAAATGTTGTATGTTTTTTTTCACTTGATTAATCTATCAAATTTGCCCATCATATTTCCCCAGAGCCCATGGTAACACCTTCAGATTGCTTGATTTGTTCGACCAACAGTCCAGCAACAAAAGATAATTAATTTACAATAAAATAAAACAGAGAAAAGCTGAAAATCCTGACACCTGAGAGGTGGGAACAGATTTTCTGACATTCAGCTTATCAGTTAATCGACTGATTGTTTCAGCAACCATTAAAAACTACATTTTCATTTCATTGCTTTATGGGTTGGTTACAACAGCTTAAGTCCAGTTGCCAGTGTATTGGGTAAAGCTATCTAAAACTAATGCAGCCTAATACAACTGTCCTGCAATAATACCTCCCATCATGAAGGTCACAATGTTCCTTTTTTGTTGAAACTGTTTTAGAAGTTGTTCCATCTTTATGATCATTTTGGAGGATGTTGTCTGTGGTGCTGTTAAACTGTATTGCGTTATAGAGAGAGCGTAACGCAATACAGGACTGTTGTATTAAGCTGCATTAGTTTTAGCTAGGTGTACCTAATAAACTGGCAACTGAGTGTATATGAACCAACACTGACTCTATAACAACTCCCTCCTCTCTCTGTCTCAGTCTATCCCCATCGCTGTATCCTTCCATCAGCTTGGCCAGAGGCTGGAATGTGATTGGTCGACTGTGCTGCTGCGCCATTTGCTCATTGGCTTACTGAGGGCCATGTTCTGTGGATGCTGACTCATATTGAAAAGGAGGGCAAAGAGTGTTAGTGTCTGTGTTAGGAGACTAAGAAATAAAGAGGAGAGTGGGTGCTGGATACAGATTTGTTTGTGTGTGTCTGTGAATGGTTGTCTGTTGTAGAGACAGACAGACAAGTTCATGGCCATCTGTAGCAGTTAAACTGAAAAAATAGGTCACACTAGTGCACCTACCAGCCCTTTCTCTCTCTCGCTTTCCGTCTCTCTCGGTTTCTTTATCTCTCCTCCTATACTGTCAAGGTTTTGCCATCTAATTACTGGTTTATTTTTGCCTCTCTCGCTCTCTTTCTCTCCATTGTCTTTCTCTCTGTCTGCCTGTGCTCTTTCTACTTCACTACCCCGTCGCCTGTTGTTGCCATGACTACCTCGCAGTGTGCTGGTATCCACACAGTGGCGTTGGATACCTAGGTGATGAGATGCTCAAGTAGATCATTAGAAATGTACTGGGTTCCACTGGCTTTTACTGGAGTGTGTGTGTGTGTGTGTGTGTGTGTGTACATATGTATGTGTGATGACTTGTTCCCAAGTGGAGGAAATCAATAGCTGGTCGTGTGGCCGTGATGTAGAATGATCAAATTGGAGTGATAGGTGGATAGCTTTCACTCTGCCTCCAGCCATTAATAGATTCATAGTTCAGCCAGATTATTATATTAGCACCGTGTTGCTGCCTTATATCTGAGGATGCAAGCAATAATTTATTTAATTAATTTCCCCTTCTAATTCTTTTTTTTTGTAAGTTCATCTCTTTAACATTTCACTATCACAGGATATAAGATTTGATAAGCAGGGCTACACTAATATGGAAGTATGCTTGCTACAGTGCAGCGGCTCAGTGCGTGCACAGCACCTTTGGTTCAAGCTTTTGTGCTGCAAGATAAAATGAGAATCAGCTTTATTGGCTAAGTATGTGTGTACACATACAAGGAATTTGACTAGGACATGTTTTTTAAGTTGCTCTCAATGTACTTACACACAGAAGAATTTACAGGACGATAAAAAAATGTATACAGCTAGAAACAAGGACAACAAAACTGAAGAAAGACATAGTTACATACAAATAAGTGTATATAGAGATAGAGAGTTTATAAAAAGATGTAAAGATATAAAAACAATGACCAACAACATATAATGTCTATACAAGTCAAGTGTTTCTGTAAAATAAAAAAAAAAATTGTGCAAAGGAAGAAATGGGTAATATAATATTACCTTATATACATGAAGTGGGTGGTTATGTACAGTTTGCGCGCAAGCTGAACATAAGTGAATGGCATCATTTCAGCAGGGGGATCTCATTTATGAACTCTCACGGCAGTGCCAGGTACTTTGTGGTGGTGCAGTTCAGGATCTGACAGGTTAGTCACTTAAGATGCCAGGTGCCAATGTGTTTACTCATACTGGTTACTGATCTTGAAAGCCAGACATGACTTGGGTCACAGTGAGATCAGACAAGGAGTGCAAATAATGATTCTTTTCGTATTGATTCATCTACCAATTTCTTTTTTCTATTAATTAATCTTAATGTCTATAAAAAATCAGTAAATAGTGAAACATGTCCATTCTGATTTCCCAAAGCCCAAAGTGATGTTTTCAGATGCCTTGTTTCATCTGAACAAACAGTACAAAACAGTACAAAACCCAAAGATATACAGTCTGAGATAATATATAACAAAGAAAATGATCTCATCCTCACATTTCAGATCCTATCTGTTTGATAGGTGTCTTAAATTACTAATTGATTATTGAAAAGGTTTTACATTAATAACTTTTTTCTTGATTAATTAATCGACTAATCATTTCAGCTCGATATCCGACTTTGTTGAAGTCTGCATGCACATACAGTATAAAGAAATGAATTGGGAGAGTGGGGGAAAAAGTAATGTAAACAGACATAAGTGAAAATACAGTAACAACAGTGGCTGCATAACTCTCCAGGCCAAGTGCATGTGCTGCTGATTGTGTTATTGCTCTAATCTCTCTCCCCATCTTTTTTTCTCTGCAAACATCTCCCACCACCTTCTCCCTCCCTGTCTCTCTTAGCTAAGGATAGGTATCCACACAGGTTCGGTGCTGGCAGGTGTGGTCGGTGTTAAAATGCCACGTTATTGCCTGTTTGGGAACAATGTGACACTGGCCAGCAAGTTTGAATCGGGGAGCCATCCGAGGTGTATCAATGTTAGTCCCACAACTTACCAGTAAGTAACAGCGCCACACATACACAGACTCAAACACACAGATGTACACGTACACAAACATATATGTGTTCTTGTTTTAACAATGTCATCATAACAGTAAATGCTTTTCAATGAAATGTGTCACCTCTTGTGGACTTATATTATTACTTGTACATCACTTGACATCAGGCACAGCTGCTATTTCCTCATACCCCTCCAGCTGTGTGTGTGTGTGTGTGTGTGTGTGTGTGTTTGTATGTCTTATGTTTGCGGTTTTGCGGATCTAATCTTAGTCTAAACAAAGCTACAAAGCAACATAGATTAAGCTGAAAAAAACTAAAATTTTCATGTCTGTTATGGTTTATCGTAGTGTATTTTTGTGTGTGTTCTATTACTTACCTATCTCATTTTTAAAAGACTACTTATTCTTTAAGACAATTTCTTGTCTTCTTAACAGGTTGCTGAAAGATGACCGCTCTTTTTCATTTGTCCCTCGTTCACGGCTGGAGCTCCCAGAGAATTTTCCCAAAGAGATCCCGGGGACATGTTACTTCCTGGAGGCAAGGGACGTCTCACAGCCATGCCTCACTGACCAGCTCTCGCTCCGCTCCCCCGGCCTCTATGAGGAAAGTCTCCTACAGCATTGGGACAATGTTTCTAAGAGAAACAAGTCTGTAAGTCTCATACACAGACCAGGATACACAGATATTCATTATGTGAGAGGCTGGATTTGAACCTGTGGACCATGCAGGAAAACAGATCACACGGATCTCTGGATATGCAAATGCATTATGTGAAAACTTGGATTCAGACCTGTGGTATGGCATATATGAATGAATGTTCAAAGAAATGCTTTCATCATAGGTGAAAAAGAACAACATGCCCTCATCTCCTGAGCAAGGGAGATACAGTTTAAAAGACTTGAGGAACAGCAACTCTGTTACACTCACGGATCCCTCCCCATGGAAGTCTACTGATGGCGTCAAATAGAGAAACCTTAATATAAAACTTAGCTGGATCCAGCTGGATTCCTCAGATTCGTACCTGGTTTCTAGCTCTCTCCAGTGGTCCTGTCTCCCAAACATTACCGTGACCTGGGTCTAGAGGCAACAATGCATTGAGAAAACCTGGAGAGAGATCATTTACATGATCAGAATTGTACTCATTAGCAATGGAATTGCGCAAATAGAACAAATCCACTTTCCATCAACAAAGTGGATGCTAAGGAATGATAAAATGAAGAACTTTTAGAAGATGGCGACATTGCCACAAATGTTTGCTGTGCATCATTGCCTCTTGTACAAGGAAGACACTACTGAAGAACAAAACAATTCCCCTTCCAACTGTCCCTAAATCATGTCATGCTTTACCAAACGTACTTCTAACATCTGCTGCTCGTTACATCCATCCGTCCACCTAGGACCAGTTGGTCGGTGCGGAGAGAGGCAAATGAGAGGCACATACAAGTATAGGTTTGAAAAGGGTTCATCAAAGGACAAAAGCCAAAAACGCTCATACTAACCTGACACTTCTAACCCACAGCAAACTATAACCAACAGCAATCCAGCCATTTCATTGCAGGTAATATGTTTAGGACTGAAAATGATTTGCAGCTCAGTGCCTTTTTACTGCTCAAATCAGGACAAATACAAGATGGGTTCATTTTAAATATTTTAAAAAGAATAAAAAAAACACAAGGAGTGCTTCAATTTTGTTAGGTTTCCATTTGTTTTTAGACATTTTTATGACATTTCTTATGTCACTAGCTATACTGAAGCGTGAAAGATTTGAATGGCGGAATGACACGTGCCAAAGGTTGTAAGCCACATTTGAATCCGTGATGTTGCAAGTCACAGCAGACGCCTTATCGAACCGAGCCACCTGGAGTCCTGACTAGTTGTGTCTTTCATTTTGAGGCGAGTGGCTGGCATGAGAAATCGAGCGCTCCTCAAAGAGTTCAAATATTTGAAATCCTATTCATCCGTTTTCTGTCCAGATCAACCAACAATACACACAATACAATACTAATAAGATCGTACCATACTAACTTGTACACATAGTCACAGTATGCATGCTTGACACGGTTCACATTTACAAACATAATCTTTTAATTGCATACAGTAACCAACAGGATCCAAATTCAAGTCTACTAGTTTGCTGGTAGACTGAGTATGATTTACTCATTGGAAATCTCAGGCCTTCCAAATGCTTCAGCGTAGCTCAGTAACCCAGACGAGAGAGAATAATGGTCTGAAGTTTTTGTCTAAGAGAATCTTTATAAACTGTCATCAGGAAGTTGGAAGTGAAGAGTTGAGGTTGGAAAGTTTTTGAATATTTTACACATTGGCGCATTTGGATATGTACTTAAATAACTAACATTACATCACTTTTCTATGAGGTATTAGTTTCCATGACATCTTACATTTTAGATGCTGATAGAAATGTTTATATTATCTAAAGAAGTACACAGAGATTTGTCAACATCACATCCTAATTTTAGTTTATTATTTATGATGTGTACATTCAGTTGTTTATGGGCGGGACCAGCAAATTTTCTCTGCCAAACAACTTGTCACTCACTGGCCATGGTAAAGATTCAACAGGAACATGTTGGCTATGCTATGTAAAACAACAGTTTGTAGGAAAACATCAGAAGGGTAATTTACAAAAATGAATGCCCATCTGGCCAAAGGTTTCACCCACTAAAGGGCATTGTGCCATCAAATGGAGATGGTCACCATCCTAACAAAGCAATGTGCCATATTGGAGGAAAGGATGGGAGGAGGGGAAAAGAGAAAATTCAAGATTTCTTTTTGACCTGCTAGTGTTTGAACCGGTGATGGGTTAGAAGTGCTGAGACACTTTGGTCATAGGTCGGTATTGCCATAAATAATTCTTACAACTGTCATCAGATTCCATGACAGCAGTAGCATCAGAAAGCTTGAAACACTCGCACATTTACAGCATGTTCTGTAAAGTTCCTGATCAATTTTGGCAATGAAAATAGACATTTCTGAAAATATTTTTCTATATATAGCATAGTTTTATCCATATTTACTGTAAACTAAAACAACTATAACCTATTTTCAAAGTTGTTTTCTGTCGCTTTAAGTATACTATGCAGTATAGAACTAACAATGGACTAGATAACAATAACACCTAAAGATAAATTCAGTAAGTCAAAGCATAGCATAGTTTTTAGGCAAAAAATATCACAACACAAATCACATATGTTTAATCACGCCGAACTAGGTACTATTGTTTAGTGGGTCAAAATTGTAATTTCAAGTCAAGGGAATTTATCTACACTATAAATTGATTTCAAGACAAGTGGGAACTCAGACGTCAAGTCACAGATACATTTCTTATGGGAGTTTGCTACACCTGTTAGAAAGCAGCATAAACTTTTTCACATTTTATTGCTTTGTGGCAACAAAGCCAAAGCACTTCCTGAGACCAAAAGGTCTGTAACATTCATGTTTTTTTGTGATATTATAGAGGCCCAGAATCTGCAACACCCACATGAGACATCAGTGAAACATACCTCCTGTATCTGTATATCCATGTATCAGTGGCTCAGAAGATTAGCGCTAACATTGACATGCCTGCCAAGCAAAAATGAATTCTGCTTCAGTATAAATTGCCAAATACACTAGAGAATGGCAGGCCAACTTTCCAAAAAGCCTGAGGGAAGTTTGCATGTCTTCAAGGCCTGGGAAAGTGGATACTGTTTAACCTTAATTTTGCCCTGATAATAAAGTCAAGTATAATTTCACAAACGTTTACAAGACCACATGGGCCATATTATAGAAAACAACAGTTTTCAGGGAGGTACCTCAAGTGTCTTTAATCAAAACAACAGTATAACGCAATTTTAGTTGATGGACAAATGAACCCCTAAGCAGTCCCTTGTCCATAAGCTTATAGAGGGTTAAACCGGAAACTCAGGACATGTGCAATTTGGTGTTTCTCATTGGAAGGAGATGTAGAGTAAGATAGAGGAGATTAGATACATTTAATTGAAGAATAATGAAGAAGCGCCAATTAATGATGGTCAATTATGACTACATTTTTAATAATGGTAGCTATGCTTGCTAGTTTAGCTGACTAGCTGCCATAACAAAACTATTCTACAGTGTTCACTTCTGGAGATTTAAACCATTTTTGCTCTGACTTTATGATTCCACACACCCAAAAGAAGGTATGACTGCTGTTGCAAGGAGACAGTGACCAATGCAGAATCCCAAAAGAAGACAAAACAACATTTAACTATAAAAGTACATATGAAAGTGAGAACACTGTTAAATCCACAATGGGGAACAATAAGTGCATGGACACAACTATTGTAGAGACTGAATATCCTCTCTTAAGTGTATCTGACACGTTTTCCCAAGGCAGGCCTTCACATACAGAGAGACTCACAAGATGCTTCCTGACTGTCATCCTGTCGATATTCTATATTGCATACATGCATTAATGTGTACTTGTACAAAATCTATTGTAGCATAAATGTAGTGCAGGTGTTATTTACATTCAGCTTCAGCAGTGGCTGAATTCTGCATCAAGCTAAATAAAGGACATTACATCAGCGCTACACCCACGCAACTTGTGTCCAACAGTCACGTCTCCAAGTCTGTAAATTCTTGGCATAATATTAAATGTTTGGTCAGATCTGACTGTCTTGCTGTTATGATGCAGAGGTGTCGCAGGTACTGGTTCTCTACAGTACAGTGTGGTTGTCGGTCACGGCCCATTACACCTCAATGCATACTGTAGGTCACTTACTCATACGCAAGCGTACATCACAGTTACAGTGGCAATACATCTTAGCTGTACTGTAAAAGCTGTGTCAAACAATGAACATGAACAAATGTTGTCATGAGCCTGTAAGCGTGGGAGGGTCCAGTGTCCAGTGAGACGAAGCCAAATACACCCATAACTCCAGCAAAAGTCTGGACAGAGTCTGTCTGTGTGTGTCAAACAATATGAGAACATTTTAAGTTTAACAAAGTACTAACATAATAATTTGTTAATAAAGACTGATTGTACCTGTAATAAATATGTACAATTTAGTATATTAAAACAGAAATATGGAAATTGTAATAAAATTATTTAACATTATTTACACATTATTTGTTTGGTGTAATTCACAGAATGATTTGAGATTGTCACATTTTCCACTGCTTTGTTTTTTGTTTTGTTTTTTAAAATATCTGCCAGATAATGTACTTTATGTCAGTATGTGTGCCATCTAAAGCCAGGCTGGTTTTCCCAACATTCCCACTCTGAAGACTTTTTTTTATTTCAAGAAATAAGACATAAATGGTAGACTTTTCCATTGACACTATTGTAATTTTTTCCTTCACAACAATTGTCTTCAATTATGGATTTATGAAACATTAAATTCAACTGCATGTCATTTTATTGAAAAATAAAATTGCGCAACATGTTTTTTTTTGCAGGACATTGTTATGAACAGTCTTGTTGCCAAGATCAACTTCACCCCCACTTGTAGTACCATGGGTGTAAGCTGATGGTCCCTATTTATCCTGGTTTTAACAGCAGAAACAAACATGGTTGATGCTTGTCATCCATGTCCAGGGTCCTCCTAATGGATGTACATTGCTCCACCGATCTCCAGTCTATAAAGCGTCCCCCACATGAGAATAGTAGCCTCCATGACATTTGTTCGCCAGCTTAATTTAAATCTAATAAAATATTTGTGACATTTAACAATTCATCATTTCACTGGGATCTCTCTCTTTGGTCGATGTCACGTGTCAGATATTCTGGTCAGTGTTTTGTACTTTGATGTCATGTTGTAAACATACAGCACTGTACCTGGACATGAACCCTGTTTGACCCTGTCGTTGGAATCAGGTGTATGTGGAAGAGACTTGATGACAGCTGTTGGTTTCTGACTGACATTAAGGGCACATCTGCTGTCTTATATGATGTAAATAAAAAAACACTAAGTATCTTTAATAAGGAAGAAAGACTGCGGCTGTTGTGTTACAAATTTGTGTATGACTGATAGGAGCGTGTGAGTTTGATATATAGTGATAAAAGTACAAAAATCATAGTTATATAAATCTTCAAATTAGGATTAATTTCTTATTTTTTGCTCATTATGCTGAATGCTGCATTTCAAAAAGACAAGAATTCACATATATTTGTCAAGTGTGTGTAGATCACATTATAGTTACTGAAACACAAGGTCTACTTTTCCCAGGATAAAGTTTGAAATATAATCCTTCAACAGAGTCGTTATTAATGTACTGCACGGTCCTGACCTCAGGTGTGGGAGGCGGAAACGCTAGAGAGGAGGCTAAAACTCATGGGCCCTAGCAGCGGTTGCTAGTCCATCTCTTGCTGAAAATCACTATAAAGTTCCATAAAGCCGAGGTGAACTGCAAATTCATGTAGGAATTCTCTGTAGGTTTCATCACTACAAGTGGCCCCTTTCACATTGTCACTTGACACGTTGTTAGTATAAAAATATCCAGATGAACCTAAACTGGTTTTAAATAGATCTGGATGTAGACTTGTCTTGAATCAACTGAGCCGATTTCCTTAAAACCTATTTAGGACAAGTCAAAGTGTTACATTTGAGGGCCTTCTTCACCAAGTATGCCTACACAGGTGTGATTAGAGCCCTTCCCCGGGCTGGTGATTAACATCTCCTTCACTCTCCTGTTAATACTGTTGCTGTTCCAAACAAGTTGGCAGGACCAACAAACTCAGTAATTTTGAAGAAATCTGTTATTTTGTTTACGTGTACAAAGATATTCAATGGAGATAAATTTGCCGCAGAAGGAAGAGCTTTTAAGCTTTTCCCCCGCTTCTCTTTAAAGCCTGACATCGGCGACACACATGACATCACTTTTTGTCACCCAAGGGAGACATACCATTAAATATATAGCTTTACCTGAAATTAGCTTTTATGAAGTTCACTCCCCTCCAGTTCTGTTTGCCTACCGCCAAAACTCCAGCCATTACTGACCAGTTGTTCAGTGTGTTGTCCAGTGTCTTTACCCAGTGGTGTGGTTTATGTTCCTTCTTAACTATTCAGACAAGACTAAAATGATCTATGCAAGATGATGGAAACAATCTTTATGTGTAGTTGGTCCAGTCTTTGTAGGTTTCAGCCAGTCTTCAGGTTTGATTTTGGTATTGTCCTCCCCCACTTCACCATTTTATCTGCCTTTTCCTCCAGTTCCACAAAATGATCAGCTTTTTGTTAGACAACAGGTGGTTGAAATGAATCTCATTTCACTGGGTGTCTTAGTACTTACTAATCAAGAATGTAACTTAAGCTGTTTAAACAGAAAACCTCTGATACATGTGTAAAAGAGAAGACAACTAATGACCTAGAGACTGGGTAGTTTCAGCCAACCAATCTGACTGTTTTTAGGGATGCTTTCAAACTGTGCAGATACTTTCCAGCCTGCTTGAGATATGCAAAATCAAATTGGTTGTCATGTAAACTATGTTTTTTCTTTGCTTTCTCCTTCTTTGTTATTCTTGTGCATTTATTTGTAGAAATCCTCTCAGACAGTGCACCTTCGCTGGCAAATTGGTAATAGCCTTGGCTGTAACAGTTAAGTAACACTTGACTGTGACAACCAGCCTGCAAAACGCTTAATGACAATTTCAATGATGCTGTTCATTTCACTCACATGTAGTGTCACAGTTCACCCTTCATCTCTGTTCAGTTTTATCTTCTCCTCCTCTCATCATTCCTCTAACCCTCCAGCCCTCCATCCATCCTCCCTCCCTTTATCTTTTACCCCCCCCCCCCCCCCCCCCATATGCAAATACATCCCCATTACACTAATTGGCTCTGGGAGGTTTGAATATTTCACCATCTTCACTGCACAGGCGGATGAGTATGTATTGTGAGATAACATTGCACAAGACAATGTGTTAATGGAAATTAAACACACACACACACACACACACACACACACACACACACACACGACACACACACACATTCTTTAAGTATGAATGAGTGAACAAGGGTCATGTAATTTACACTGTGCTTGTCATATTAGCCAAATGAAGCAGGGCTGAGTTGTGGGGTGGTGTGGGGTTCAAGTGTGGATGTATGTACAGTATGTATATGTGTATGTGTGTGTGTTTGTCAGACCACTCTGCATCAGAATGAATTATGCTTTCATTATTCATGGGGGCATCTGTGGAGGAGATGCTCCCTGATCTCTGCATGTAATCTCTATTGAAAACAGAAGGTGTGGTTTGGTACGTTTTCTTTGCGATCATTTCTGTTGTGAGAAGTGTCTTGTCAGCTATGTTTATCTTTAATTGCTGTGATGTGTGTCCAATCCTCAACTTTATTAATCACTTTTTTGTTGCCTATTTGTGATGGGATTGTAACCTCACATAAAAATGAACCATTCACTGGCTTTCTCAGCTACCTCTGATGGCCTGCATGCTGCATTCTATGTGAAGAAATTGGGTTGACATTTCTGTGACATCCATTGGCTTACTGTGACGTTCTGCAAGCTCCCGAGCCTCTTGCCTACTGATTCTGAACTCTACTGCAACAACTGGGCAGCCGACCATCTCCCACCACAACACAGACTCAAACACAATCTCCATGTAAGGATAAACAACTAAAAAAACATTTTATGTGGTGAAGCAGGCCGAAGGAGAATCTAAAATAAACAATGGTAAACTACAATGATACATGGAAGGAATACTGGAAGAGACCATCTTCTAGGATAATTCCAAAAAACAGGTTCTTAAGACTGTTGTTTTTATTTTATGTGCTTTATCTCCTGTCTAATGTTATTCATCCCCCGACTATTATATTGTTTCTAATTCTGGTTAGATTGGGATTATCGTGTCTCAACACATTTCCAGACCCATTCGGTACAGCAACGTACCAACCTTTTTTGTTCAACGTACCCACACAGCCCTGCCAGGTGGTTTATGGTATTGGTCAATAGTATTTTTAAGTAGTTTTGGCCAAGTTATTTTGCACTACTGCTGTTTGGAATAACATAAAACCGGATGTTTCAACCATATCTTTACTTTTAGCTTTTTTTTCCAACTAGACTTTCTGCAGGCATAATCAACTTCCAGTTGATTTAGGTTGGTGAAAAGCAGAATCACAGTTTCAATTTTTTCAAGTTAGCTGAGCTTCACAATTTAGCCATCTACCTCTTGGTAACCCTGGTTGGGAATCACTGGTCTAAAAAATACTAAAGTGTAGCAATAGTCTCATTTATAATAATTATTTATAATATTCAGTCTAGCTCATTAACTGTTATCATCCAATAAATTATATGGTGACTTTGCTGAGCATCTCTGGTGAAAGATCCGCAACACTGACGTATCATGTCGGCTAAATGCAGTCAATGTGTTGTCATGTAATGTGCGTGAATTAGTTCAACGTGAAGTTGATAAAAATACTGTAATGTTGCAATGGGAGTTCACCAGAGTTTCCAGCATTTTGTTTGATGCTGTCTTTGGTGTGTCTCTGTTATGGCTTGCGCGTTAGTTCGAGCATGCGCTCGAGCACACGCGTTGAAAGGTAGTGGTTGCAATATGAAACCTCACCGCTAGATGCCACTGAAATCTGCACATGCAAAATTGTTTCATTTGCATTTTTTTTCTGGATGTTCATAAAGTCCAAGGTCAGTCAAACAACATTCAGTGTTTTGACAAAACAAACAAACCCAACTCCAGGTCCACTTACTTCCCACTAGCTTTCTACTGTATTACATAGTCTTCATCAGTTGTCGATATGTACATATATACCAGAGAGAGGTATAGCGCAAAAGTAAATAGCTGATGAAAAAAAACCCCAGAAGGCATGACGTCTCTGTCTTCATTGACCTTCATCAGATTAATATGTATCTGTGGGCTGTAAACATGTAGATGAAGATATATGACGGAAGAATTGTCCTTCATCTTCTTTGTGGTTCCAGTTAGGTAATAAACTGTCAGACACTCGGGGCGTGTCCCTTCACTACTAGACCACCCTGCCATCCTCCCCGTGTGTGTGATTTCCAAGTGTGTGTGTTTCCGTAGTTCGGTCGAGGGGCGTGGTCCTTAATAATGAATTACTTCTTCCCTTACACTTGTTTTCTTCTTCCATCTGTTCTTTCCCTGGAGCTTTCACTCATCCATCACTTGCTACATTTCTCTCTCCGGTACACAACAAGTCTTTCTCACTCTCTCATTCTCTTTCCTCCAAGCGAAGTCCCTCTGTAATCAGCCTGCCAGTCTTTCGAAATCTTCTCCCACCCATTTTAACGTTTTAATCATTTGAATTCACACCATGGCTCACTTACTGATTAATCTCTAATGCTTCATAGTGTGTAGTTTTTATAAAGTGTTACCAATATCTCCTTATTTACTTCCCCAAAACCCATAGTTAAGCGCTGCTGCTCTGCAACATTATTGACTATGACTGCTTGAAGCAGGGTTTGAAGTATAATATTATTCAAACCCAAAGATTTTTATTTTAAATTCTAGCAAAGCTCCCAAAAGTTTCTTACCATACCAAATATGTCAATCTGAACTTTGGGAAACTTTGTCTAAAATGATGCATAAGACATCCAGAATATTTCTATTTGATGGAATGATGCAGCCACAAATCAGTAAAACTTGGGTTTCAATATTTAAATCAGTGTAAACATCATAAATCTTACATGAAAAGTTGGGAACAAGCTGACACAGAATATATATATGAGACCACAGTGTGGAATA